AATAGAAGCCTCAAAGAAAATGCTAATTCCAGGTTTGGGATGAGGAAATACAAGGTTAGCTGGGAAAATCCTGTTCCATGGAGTTTAAAAGTGCTTAAAAATTGATAGGGACACAGAAGTCACTTGAAGAGGCTCTCACTGGCCAAATCTGTAATAACTTGGACATCAAAATGAAAAATAGCAGGCCTGGATGACAACTCACTGATTAATAAGAGTCTATACATGAATTTCTTTCCTTCTTTCTGTTTTTGAGATGGGGTCTGACTGTATTGCCTAAGCTGGTCTCCAACTCCTAGGCTCAAGCTATCCTCTCTGCTTAGCCTCCCGTAAGTGAATTTCATATGAAAAAGATAAGACAAAAAGGAGTGTTGAGTTCAATTAAATATTTTTTTAAGTGGGGGAGAAAAGGGAATCTCTTTTTTTATGTAGGAAACCCAGCTAACAATAGCAGAAGGAAGGAGAAATGATAGAAAAAGAAATATCACCATTTTACAATCACCATGGTAAAAATGTAGGCAAAAAATATCAAGGGATGCTAAAATCACTGGGAAAAAGGAGAGTCACACGGTCTCACAGTCTCTCCCTATGGATAATTTATAAAGCACATCAGGGAAGGTATGTTCACAAGGGAAAAAAGTCAGACAGGCACCACCTTAACCAAATTATCAAATTTGACATCATCAACTAGGGGATTCATGAACATCACTGTGTTCTCTAATGTGGTATATCCAGGACACAACATAATCCATCTAGTATTTCTGCCAGAAGACTTTAATCTGATTCTAGCAATGAAACAATTTGGACAAATTCAAATTGAGATGTGGACACACACAAAAACCAGCTGAAGATGTTCATTGGCATGAAAGAAACAAAAAGCCAAAAGAATTATTCTTGATGAAAAGAGATTAAAGAGACAGGACAATTAATGCAGTGTATAGTCTCTGATAAATCTAATATGCAATGACCAAAGAAATGAACAAAATAATAAAAGTCAACTGATTTAATTCACAACAGTAGCAGATTAAAAGAGTAAGTCACACAATCATCTCAATAAGTACATAAGAAGTATTAGATAAATTTCAACATCCACTTCTAATCTTTAAAATCCTCTTAGCAAATTTGGAGTAAAGGTTTCTTAATCTCATAGAGTGTATCTACAAAAATGTCTTTAGCAAACACCACACTTACTGATGAGAAATCAAACTTTTTTTTTTTTTTTTTTTTTTTTTTTTTTTTGAGTTAGAGTCTGGCTCTATCACCCAGGCTGGAGTGTGGTGGCACCATCTTGGCTAACTGCAGCCTCCAGCCTCCACCTCCCAGGTTCAAGCAATTCCCCTGCCTCAAACTCCCAAACAGCTGGGATTACAGGTGACCGCCATCACGTCTGGCTATTTTTTGTATTTTTGTAGAGATGGGGGTTTCACCATGTTGGCCAGGCTGGTCTCAAACTCCTGACCTCAGGTGATGCACCCACCTTGGCCTCCCAAAGTGCTAGCATTACAGGTGTGAGCCACCGTGTACAGCCAAACACTTTCCTTTTGAACTTGGGAATAAGATAAGAATGCCTCCAATCATAATTTCTATGAAAAAAAAAATTGTTGTGCAGGCACCACCCGGCACAGCAAGGTAAGAAAAAGAAATACAAGGTCTACAGATCGAAGAGGAAGTAACAACACTGTCATTATTGACAGGATTATATGTATTAGGTTGGTGCAAAAGCGACTGCTATTTTGCCATTGCTTTGTTACAAAGCAATAGAGCACTGATCCAGACTTGACCCCAGATTCTCCATTTTTTTTAAAGGTCAATTGGAACAATGATATGTGCGTTAGTTCTTCTGGTGGGAGCATTAAATAGCATTAAAAGTAATGGCAAAAACAGCAATCACTTTTGCATCAACCTAATAGGAAACCCAAATGAATAAACAGATAAATTATTAAAATGTGTAGGAGTTGAGTTGAGTTCAAAATCAACACAAAAATCCATTTTATTTCTATATACCAATAACAAACATTTCCAAAATAAACATTTAAAAATCCACTGGCCACAGAACAAAAATATCTAAACTTAGGAATAAATTGAACAAAATACGTCCATGCCTGTAACAGAGAAACTTCGAGAGGCATTAAAGATCTAAATACATGGTCATGGATTGAAAGACTTAACTTTGTAAAGATGTCTACTTTCCCCAACTTGATTCAAAGCAATCTCTATCAAAATCCCAACAGGTTTTCTCCAGTAGAAACTGCCAACCTGAGAGTAAAATTTACATGGAAATTCAAAGCCACAACACTTCTGAAGAAGAAGAAAACATAGGACGACTTATTTTCTCAAAAACAGAAGTTAAAATGAAGCCACAGAATTAAGACAATGTGTTATTGGCCCTGAGAGAGATAAATGGACTAATAGAGCAGAAAAATAGTATTAACACAGAGAGAAACATATATAAATCCTTAATGTACAGATAGAGGCAACTCTTCACAGTGGTGGGGAAACAATTGATTTTTCAATACATGGCACTAAGACAACTGAGTATCTGCATTAAAAAAAAAAAAAAAATAGGGAGCTGGGCGTGGTAATCCCAACACTGTAATCCCAACACTTTGGGAGGCCGAGGTAGGAGGAATTGCTTGAGCCCAAGAGTTTGAGACTAGCCTGAGCAACATGGCGAAACTTCTCTACAAAATATACTAAAATTAGCCAGGCAGGGTGGCATGTGCCTGAACACAATATTTTGATTATATACCCTGAGTGGGTGTGTGGTCCCTGCTAGTTGGGAGGCTGAGGTGGGAGGATTACTTGAGCCAGGGAAGTTGAGGCTACAATGAGCCATAATTGTCCCACTGTCCTCCAGCCTAGGTGACAGAGTGAGACCCTATCTCAAAAAGAAGTAACAATGAAAACACTGGGTTCCTCTCTATGCTATTCAAAAAAGTCAATCCCAGGTGTAGGGGGATTGACTCAAATGAGAAAAGAAAATTTATACAGCTTTTAGAAGGAAATATAGAATATCTTCATGACCTTGAGGTAGGAGAGGAGTTCTTTGAATAAGATACAAAGAACACGAACCATAAAAGAAGATTTAAAATTCATATACTTAAGAATAAAGGCCAGGCACAGTGGCTGAAGCCTGTACTCCCAGCACTTTGGGAGGCCGAGGCAGGTGGATCACTTGAGGTCAGGAGTTTGAGACCAGCCTGGCCAACGTGGTGAAACCCATCTCTACTAAAAATACAAAATTTAGCCAGGCGTGGTGGCGGGTGCCTGTAATCCCAGCTACTCGGGAGGCTGAGGCAGAAGAATCACTTGAACCTGGGAGGCAGAGATTGCAGTGAGCCGAGACCAAGCCGCTGCACTCCAGCCTGGGCGATAGAGCCAGACTCTGTCTCAAAAAAAAAAAAAAAAAAAAAAAAAAAAAAAAAGAGATACAAATTGACAGTGGTGGAACCACATATGGTAACAGAACTCTGAGCCACAATCTACAATCAGCCAGCCCAGGGAGCCACACTGCAGCCCCTGCAGCAATCAGCCCAGAATGGTCAGGTCTGGTTAATGACTGCCATCTTCTCTATTTTTTGCTCTGCTTCCAACTCAGGACCAGTCAGAGAAAACCAAACATACTCCCAACTGGATAACTTCAGATGCCCTGCCTCTAGCCAGCTGGTCCCCAGCTCCCCAATACCGACAACCTCCGACCAGAGCAGACCTGAAGGTTTCCCTTTTTCCACTGGAAAGCTTTCCCACTCCCCTGCCTGCCTTGGAATCTTGGCCAAACACAAGCTATGGCTTGCTACAGCAAGCTCTGAATAAATATCTCTATTTGTTCGCATTTGGTTGGTGTTCATTTATTCACACAAAATTCAGAATTTTACTCATAAAAAGTCCCCATAGAATAGGAGGACACGCTTCAGGAGGATAAGCTTCAGAGTGGAAGAAGGTATTTGTCATATGTGTAACCATCAGAGCTAGTGCACAGCATATATAAAGAACTAAAAAAAAAATCAATAGGAAAAAGACTTGAACAGGCACGTCACAAAAGAGAAACTCAAATAAATAATATGAAAACATTCCTTGGCCTCATCAGTAATCAAGGAAATACAATCATCCTGTGCAGAAGGCATAGCCAGCATGGCCATTCTCCCCCACGGCTCAGAGGGGCAACTAACTTGCCCCAGAGGAGCCTCAGACCTGGGGCTCAGACCCTAGGCAGGCCCAGGACTCTGTCCCATGCCTCCTCCTCTCTCTCTGGGGGTTCAAAGGTGGTCAAAGGCAAGTGCCTTCTCACTCCAGAGCCCGTTCTCTCATCTGGAGAAGATGAAAGATCATCTGTAAGGCCCTTTCAGTTTAAAAGATTCTGCCTTCCTATGCAAAAAGAGAACCAATGATGGAAAGAAGAGGCGCAGAGAGGGATGGCGGCGGAGGCACAGTCTGCTCACAGCCACTCACGCTGGGGGCGTGGAAAGCCTGGCTGGCCGCCCACTCAGTTCACTGAAAGCTCAGCACTCTGCTTAGCAGAACTAAAGAATGTGGGCAATCTTTTAGAATTGATCATCTGGAAATCTGTCTTACTTTGTCCTTTAGCGAAAAACGAAACCAAGCTTATAAATAATAATAGTAATAATATATACATAGTTGTAGTATTAATATTTCCATTTTAAGAAGGAAAAATCAAGGTCCAGGGAGGTAGAAGTTGCCCGAGGCCACACAGCACCAACAACTAGACTCCAGGATGTTTTTGTGCCACAGTGCTGCTGCCCGACAGCACTTCTCTCCCAAGACCTGCCCCTCGCCCCACAGTCTTTGGGACGTGTAACCCTGTGCACGCATCCTCTGCATCCCATTCCACAGCAGGCAAACCAGGCTTCTTATTCTCGAACTGTACACTTTGTGCTTTATCTCATCAAATGCACACACTCCTCTCACATGCTCCTTGCCTAAGCAACGTGGGACGCCAGCAGAACTAAACCATTGGTTGTCCTCTGAGCAAAAGGCACGCTTACCTTGCCCCAGAAGCAGCAGCAGCCCCAGGAGGAAAACGCCCGGCTGCAACCCCATGCCAGAACGCTGCAGCTGTCTCCAGCCTCTGGAAGAGCTGCTCCAGCAGAGAGATGGGCTATCACGCCTCCTCCTGCTTTTATGCTCCTCTGTGTTCTGATAGCGCACCTGTCATAAATTTTACTGTGTTCACCTTTGAAAGGGAGCAGTGGCGTGCTGTAAATGATAAACATTAACATTTAGGTGGAAGAGTTCTTCAGGCAGATGAGTCCATCATAGATAGCATGTTCTAGTCACAGATACTAACAGACCAGGGCCGCATAGCCTCCTCAATACAGCCTTCCCTGATGGTGGGTGCCCGCAAATTGCCAGCGTTAGGGTCTGCTGGGAAGAACGAAGGCTTGGGAATCCCAGGTGCTGGTCGGAATTCCAAATCAGCCACAGCTGTGGAAAGTTGGGTGCATCCCTTAACTTGGCCTCAGCTTTCTCAGCTGTAAGCCAGGGAATCCAAAATACCTTGCAACAACTGTAAACCATAAAGCCACCTCCAAATGTGAAACATGTTCCCACCATGTCTCAGAAGTTCTGCTAGGTTTCCTGGTTCGCATGACACAGAGAAGTTTGTTTCTGTTCCCCCCACGGATGGCCAGTTGTGTTGGGAGGATGGGCATGCCACACATTTGTTGTCTGCATGTTGAATTCAGAGATACAAGCCAGAGAGGTGGAGCCAAGCTTGATGCCATCAGTAGTCTCCTTCAGGCAAACTAAGTCAGGAATGCTAGACTGGGTCTAAACTGGGCAGGCAGAGCTGGCATTTAAAGCCTGAGTGACAAAATACTCTTGAGAGCAGAATTTAAATTTGTTCCACAAATACCAAGAAACAATTGCCTTGGTTGATACGAACAAATGTATTTAAATCATCCTTGCTTTCTGGCAGCACTTGTGGGTGTGAGGCTGGGATCCTGACTTCTGAGGTCTAGTTAAGACTCTGGGGCTGGTTTCCATGACTCAACCTCAGATCCTGATCTCCTGGCTGACCCATTTTTCTCACATTGAAAAATCACAGTCAGGCACAGTGTCTCACACCTGTGATCTCAGCACTTTGGGAGGCTAAAGTAGGAGAATCGATTGAATCCAGGAGTTTGAAAACCAGCCTGGGCAACCCCTGCTCTATAAAAAATTAAATGAATTAGTCAAGTGTGGTGGCATGCACCTATAATCCCAGCTACGTGGGAGGCTGAGGAAAGAGGGCTGCTGGAGCCCGAGAGTTCAAGTTGCAGTGAGCTATGATTGCACCACTGCATTTCAGCCTGGGCAAGAGCAAGACTCCATCTCAATTTAAAAAAGTATTTTTTTAAATCACAGTGATTACCTCGATTGTCTTGAGTAGGAAGTGAAGATGAAGTGGGTGACCCTTTGTTCCTGAATTTCTGGTTTTAGGATGTCGTCTTCCTTTCTCAACTGCTCTGAAAAGGTGTGACTTGTGGGTCACCACTGATTTAGCCATGCCAAGCCTGAGTCTAAGCCTCAGGACTGCAAGGGGGTCTTAGGACATGCCAGAGGTGTGTGGACAATGACACATTTAGTCTAGCTGGGCATCAGCTAGTTTCAGAGTCTGGAAGAGGGCAGCACACACACACACACAGAAAAGAAGAAAATATACCCAAGGCTAAGGTCTTTGGGGGCCAAGTGAGTACAGGTGCCCCGGGCATGGGGACACTTATCATCTTCACTAAACGGCCCCCAAGGTCAATGAGAAACCAGCGCTACTGTCCCATGACTAAGGATGTCAGGAGCCCACCCAGTTCCGTGCCACCAGCAGCTTTGAGGAGCATTGCTGAACTTGCCTGGGCTGTGTAGGCCAGCTGGCGGTGGGTGGGCAGGACACAGGGCATGGGCAGAAATAAGTTGGTTCTACACTCCAGGTGCTCGCCCCATCTCTAACTGCTTCTCTCCAGGACTCCCACAGCCCAGATGGGTTACCATCCTTCCTCAAACCTCTTTCACATTTGGAAAAATTGAGACGTGCCTTAAAAACATTTAGAGTTTCTGTAAGGCATTTTGGTATGGGACAGAGCGAATGTCCTTTTAGGCAGAGTAAATCTCTGAGTCCCATCCATGCATCGAGGAATCCTCAACTGTGAGGCTGTGGGGGAAGCAACATTTCTTGAGCACTCTTTTTAAACATTTTTTTTTTTTTAAATAGAGATGAGGTCTCACTATGCTGCCCAGGCTGGTCTCGAACTCCTGGGCTCAATCAGTCCTCCCACCTTGGCCTCCCAAAGTGCTGCAGTTACAGGCATGAGCCACCTCGCCCAACCTCTTGGCACCTTTACAGGCATGGCGACTTAACTGGCACCTACTATGTGTTCTCATAGCAGCTATGAAAACACAGGGAAAGTCGTTGTCTGAAGTCAAAGACAGGCTCCGTCACTTATCCATAAAATTTTGTTTTCTGATTTTTGCTAGAAAATGCCCTAAGAGGACATGTCCTATAAAAGGGGATAAGAAATATTCTCCATTTCAGATTTTAGCAACAATCACCAGGTGCTCCTTTTGAATTCACAGGTCTGTGAATTCACGTCTCTCAGGGATGGCGGCACATGGCTTGCTCAGAGGTTTCTTGGTCTCTGAAACAAAGCTGAGCATTTGCTATTGTCCAAGAATCCACAGGGGGGCGCTAGACTAAGCTCCTGGCACAGGGCCCATGGGGATTAAAGCGGTACCGGCCTTCCACGAGGCTTTACAACCCACTATTATCCCATCGATCTGATTTGATTAATGATCAGCCCGTTTTTAAAAATGAAACAACGTAAAATATCTGAGGGCACTGTAATATAATAAGGGTAAGTAACGTATCGAGAAAACTTCTGTTTCAGCTGCATGTAGTGAGGCAATTATGTATTTCTCAATGCAGGTCACAGTCCAAAAAAAGTTGAAAACCGGGGCCGGGCGCGGTGGCTCAGGCCTGTAATCCCAGCACTTTGGGAGGCCGAGGCGGGTGGATCACGAGGTCAAGAGATCGAGATCATCCTGGTCGACATGGTGAAACCCCGTCTCTACTAAAAAAATTACGAAAAAGTTGCTGGGCATGGTGGCGCGTGCCTGTAATCCGAGCTACTCAGGAGGCTGAGGCAGGAGAATTGCCTGAACCCAGGAGGCGGAGGTTGCGGTGAGCCGAGATCGCGCCATTGCACTCCAGCCTGGGTGACAAGAGCAAAACTCCGTCTCAAAAAAAAAAAAAAAAAAAAAAAAGTTGAAAACCACCACAACTTCAGAGAGTAATAGATCCACAAGGAAATCCCTAGACTTTGAGAAAAATAAAAAAAGGTTTGTTTCTCCTTCTGGTTAAAGATATAGCTAGACCCAATTCCCTTGTGTTAGGAGCTAGAAGCAATGTCTACAAATGGCTCCGAGTCTTATGAAGAAGGGTAAGTTCAAGTCAAGTGTTTTTTGTTTGTTTGTTTAGTTTTTTTTTGTTTTAAGAGACAGGGTCTTGTTCTGTTGCCCAGGCTGGACTTCAGTGGTTATTCACGTCCATCATCATTGCACACTGTACCTTTAAACTTCTCGCCTCAAGCAATCCTCCTGCCTCAGCTTCCTAAGTAGCTGGGATTATAGGCACACGCCACTACACCCAGCTTCAGCTCAAGCTTTTTAATGACTACAAACAGAAAGTCAATCAAATTGTCCTCTTATTTCAGCAAGGAAAATGTAGACCCTGGCACCTGAGTGAGCTCTGACAATGTGATGGGAAGTATGTACCAGCAGCCTGCCATCTTGGACAAGTACCCCTTGATGCCTGTTTTAGGAAGACATCCCACAGGAAGAGGGAGGGTACACATCAGAACTGTGGGAGGGGTGGAACCAGAATACCGTATGTCCCAGAGTAATCTACATTATGTCAGTAATGCCCTGGGGATTTTCCACCTCAAGTTTCAGCTTTTCTGAAGTTCTGACTGGTCCTCACCATGATGGCCTTCCATTGCTCATACTTTCTGCATGGAAATAGACCTATGTTCCCAGCAAGGGAAGAGCTGGGCCTTTCTCTTCCTACCTCCGTGGTACCCACAAAACTCTTTCCCTGGAGCACCTAGCCCAGTGTTCTGCACATACCAGGCCCTCCACAAATCTTCATTCACTGGCTGAATACTCTCCAGGGGCAAAGAAACAACCAGCGTGACTGGCCTGCATCCTCCATCACCCTTCCCAGTCACAGAAGTAAAAGGAGCCTTGGATTAGGACTCTCCAAACCTGGCATATTATCTAGATGCCAGGACTCCTATGTATTTCCAATGGGACCTGGATACCTACATGCAAAACATTGTCTAATGCAAGTAGCTGGGCTGACTTAGCTTTCCTTGGGCAGAGGATTTGCTTATAATCAAGACACTAAAGACAAGAAGAGCTTAATTAAGAAATGAGAAAGGAAGAGAGGAAATGAAGGTACCAGTGATGCAATTCTATTTTTAAAAATGTGATTTTCAAATATCACAGACTTAGTAGTAAAAAGAGAAAGACTGACAGGACAAATCCCAGCAGAATGCACACTCCATGAGGGAAGGGACCTGGCCTGTCTTGTTCTTTGCTACGTTCCCAGCATCCACCCAGATGGTAGATGAATAAATAAATAAATAAATGAAACTCAGAATAAAAGGAAAGAGACCAAGACTACTATAAAAAGATCAGATCAGCCGAAAAGGATGAGGGAGGATGGAAAAAAATGAAAGGAATTAAAGCCTCTTTTAGAATAGAAAGCTGTGGAAAAAGAGAGGTACGTTGCCCAATACCAGGAAGCGTGATGGGAACAGATGATGGAAAAATAACATGGAGTTCATGGTCGAGCTGTCCCCAACATCACACCATCACTCTTCCACATAGTGCTTCTCAATCCTAGCTGCACATTGGACCCACCTGAGGAACTTTTTAAAAGAATACTCGTGGCCAGGTGTGGTGGCTCACTCCTGTAATCCCAGCATTTTGGGAGGCCGAGACGAGCGGATCCCTAGGTCAGGAGTTTGAGACCAGCCTGACCAACATGGTGAAACCTCATCTCTACTAAAAACACAAAAATTAGCTGGGCATGGTGGCGCACGCCTGTAATCCCAGCTACTCAGAAAGAAGGCTGAGGCAGGAGAACGACTTGAACCCGGGAGGCGGAAGTTATGGTGAGCTGAGATCAAGATCCCAAAAAGAATACTTGTGCCCAGGGTTCA